GTTTGTGCAATATAGTTCGTGTTTGTTATTGTTGACTTCTTTTAGCCGATGTTGAGTAGCTCTCTTATCCTGCCTCACTCAATGAAACGCGCCATATGGTCAGAGCTGCAGTTGGTTACTTCCTGTTTCTTTCCATAAAAACAAACTCACGTGGAGCTCCAGTGCGCTGTCACTCTTGATCATCATAAACACAGAAGAACTCACTCTATTATTATTAACAACAGTGACTCCATGTGCTCCTGTTGTAAACCTTCATAACCGTGACACTATTATCAGTTAAGACGCATTAAGCAGCGCCTTTTCGAGGTGAGCCAAAGGAAGGCTACACATGCTTGCTGCTGTCTGCTTCCCTTATTGACTGTGAATCATTTGCAACAGTCACGTTCAAGTGCAGGTGATGGTCACTCCCGTACTCTCTGTCAACATGTTGCTCTGCAGGCACCACTAAAACACTCACAATGATAGGCCTAAATGTTTTTGATTCAGATAAAAACTGAGATTTTTTTTACTCTCAACATGCCAAAGAAACATAGTCCACTCTTTGAACTACATAGTTTTATCAGGTGTTGATATGTTTAGGCTTCATATTCACCTCTGACAAAGCAACTTTATTTATAGGCAAAGTAGCCTAATGGTTTAAAAGTACTACTAATAAATGCATCCTATGGTTTATCCTATTCAGGTAAACACATAATAATAATAATAATAATTTTCTTTTGGCATCATGGTGATTACCTCAGTTAGGCAGGCAAATGATATTAAGAAGGGGGTGTTAAAGTTACAAAGAAAGGGTAGACTCAGGAGACAGGGCATTGCTTTGAATGCAGTGACTCCATATAGAGTTTGTTTAAAAATAGGCAAATCAACCCTACATTTGCCTATTTCGTCTTTTCCTCCACTAAACTATTAGCCTATTTGAAATGTTGTGATAAACAAATTGGTTGCATTTAGAAACTGCTGGATCTAGAGTTCCACGAATAATCTTGCACCTATGGCTCTTTACGATACAAGCAATAGTGGTGGAAAACTGAGCTTCTGCGCTCGTGTGCGACTTCAAACATCTCCACTAAACCCACTGTCAAACGCTTTCTCACATCACGTGTCTTCATTCTGAAAGCCGCGTGCAAAGCGTGAGTAGAGCGCCTCCTCCTGTCGTGTCCCCGCTCTCACAGAGCGCAGTGTTCATGCCGTCTGCGGTTTGGGAGAGAGAGAGAGCTTGGTCAGTGGGTCAGCTATGCTTCGACTTTTGTTTTTCTTTTGTCACGTTTTCCTGCCGCATGCACAGTTCAAAGTGACTAGTTTGTTTGATCTATAATAGAGCATGCAGTCGAATAGTAAACGCAACAGCAACCGACAATATAGGCTATTTTCAAAGTAAAAGAGCTCGCGCGTTTTGTTGAATACCTCCCTAGTCCCATCGGCTCTTCATTTAACAATGCCTACTTTAAAAAAAATAGCCTATAAAATAATTTTGCCTACAGATGTTATATTGGACATGGACAAGCACTGTGTACGTGGAGTGGTCGGGACTGTTCTATTATAGAACTGAAGAGAGGCTCGGTGAGTCTGCTGCGTGGCCGTGATGCTCAGGCATGAGTCAACAAATCCTCCAACACGTGCTGCGTGAAGGATTATCAAAACGTTGATTGCTGCAAATACCTAGTGCAACCAGCAACAGGGGAAATATTAATTCACCTTCGCTACATGCACATAACGCAAACTAATAGGCTAGGCCTACTTCTGAATGCAAATTTAATTAACTGAACAGACCTGCAATTGCGGATTATAGGTCAGGTAGCCTACGAATTTGTTGCTACTTCAAATATGGCCTATTTCACGCAAATAATTTAGTTGTCTATCTGAACATCTTGCTTAAATAGCCTACATGCCACTTTTGCAGTAGACTATAGGTTACAATTTGCCCAGCATTAAACTTTTTGGAAGTGGCAAAACGTCCTCTTGAGCTAAAAGCAAGGCTATCTTCCGAATGTTTGTAAACAGAAATGTTGTTGCATCTGAACACGAGACTGTGGATTTGATCAGAGCAGTAACCGTGTCAGGAATGCATGCATGTGAGGCGGCGGTCAGGTGTCGTGCTGTTGGCAGGCGCTGGGCACAGTGCCAGTGGAGCGGGGCTATTATTGGAGCGGAGGAGGCAGCAGACCCCGCAGACACGTGAGACCGTGTCTCAGCTCATCCACAACGCATGACTAGATCAGCACAGGGGAGGGAGAGAGGATGTGTCAGGGAGGGAGTGTGTGCACAAGCAGCCAACTAAAGTAAAGGGTCAGGCGCACATGAGTAACAAAAACATTTCACATAACAACAAAATTAATACTTTACGTGGGAATCATTTACAAATCTGACATTTTCATCCAAGACAAACCCGCTGTTGCTGTGCTACCAACAGTATTTTTAGCGCCCACTTTCAGAGCTTGAGTTCAGCATGCGCCTATTAATTTGGGATGAAGCAATAACATTGCAGGTTCCCAGAGATGTTTTTTTTTCTCATCTGCCCAGAGATTGTGCAATAGTGCATCACAGAAGTAGCCTGATATGGCAAGATAGCGTCTTAAGTTTCTAATTGTTATTGTTTGTAATTGTTGTGTAATTTAACGTTATCATTTAAGTTAAATGCATTTCAGAGTTTTATAAATAAGTTTATGAATATTAGGTCTATCTGATGTTAAAAAAAAAAAAAAAAAAAAAAAAAAAAAAAAAGAAGTCAACCATGACCTGTCTGATCTCCAGGTGGAGGCGTCATCCTGTATGCTGGTTCCACTGGCAGTTTGAGCCCCAGTCCAGGCAGCCCTTCCAGCGGATATCAGACCCAGTCACCCTCTTCACACTCTCAACCCTCATCTCCTGAGGAGGTGACCTTCACAGAAATTGGGGCTCTGAAGCAGAGGACAGTGGGGTGCAGCTCCACTACCTCCAAGTTGGTTTTCCAGTTCCCTGAAGTATGCAGCGTCTCCCAAGCAGCAGCGCCAGCAACTTCTCAGCACACATATGCACATCCCATTGCTGCAAAGAGGCCATGTGGGTTTCCTGGCACAATCACAAGTATGTTTTTCAAATGTCAACAAATAGAGCTTCAATTTAATATAAATTGTTGCATGCAATTTAACTCTTTTTTTCCCCTCTTTCTTTAGAGACAGGGGGAATGGTGCTTCTCTGCAAAGTTTGTGGGGACATTGCTTCTGGTTTTCACTATGGAGTACATGCATGTGAGGGTTGCAAGGTAAGCATTTAATGAGAAATTATTTAGCAATATTTATAGTTATTTTAAAAAATTACATTGACATATTTTATGTTTCAGGGTTTTTTTCGTCGTAGTATTCAGCAGAACATCAACTACAAGATGTGCGTAAAGAATGAAAACTGTCTGATCATGCGAATGAACAGGAACCGCTGCCAGCACTGCCGTTTTAAGAAGTGCATCTCTGTTGGCATGTCCAGAGATGGTGAGTACTTGCTACATATTATGCGCTGCAGGACTGGCACTGTTTTGTGATAAGACAAACAGTACAAAATCCAAAATGTCTATTATTGTGAAAATCGTGCCGCAGAAACTCTTTTGTGCTCATGGGCCCAATCAGGCTGCATTTCTTACATAAAATTTGTCCTCTCATCTATATGATTTGGCCTTGTGTAACTTTCTGAAGTTTTGTACATGTTTTATATCTCCTGCCCTTTCTCACATCCTCTTGCACCCCCATTACCTGAATGCTCTAGCATAATACGTATCCTCCATGTACCCATTTTGTTCCCATAGCTCTCTTACATCTTCCTCTTCAGACAGTGATTTATGAGAAGAGGAAGCGTACAGTCCCCGAAGCTATCTATCATCTCAATCCTGCTGCAAACATACTGATTATTTTAGGAAATTGGAGCGGGGTTAACCTGATTACCTTGTGAATGCACGTAGGACATGTCATTGCCATTAATGAGGGATAGGGCAACAATTAACTAAGACACATACCAAAAACACCGAATCTGAGGTTGAGATGTGACACCTTGTTTTATAATCCAACACTGATTGATCACCCACAAACAGAATAAAAAAACTGTTGTGTTGACCTAGAAAAAGAATACAGAATTGGTTCTACATTAAGCTCATACATCTTGACCTACTTAGTATACTTTGCCTGTCTTCTTCCTCCCAGTATGGTTTCTGCTTATCGTTATGCCCCTCCACTACCCCCATCTTGCCTAATCTAGCAAATAGGTTACTGTTATTTTTGCATGACACTTTTGGTGCACAGAAGTGGCAAACTGCAACTCCGAGAGAAGGAACAGCTAGGTCAAACCTCTCTGTGATTTTTCAATATGTTAAGGACCACAACCTACAAACCCCCTTTTTCTTGGTTTCATTTGCAAAAACAGGAAAGCCACATGCACCTGCCTATAGACCACAACAAATAGTACAGTCCAATTTGACTCCAGACAGCTGTGAGTGCTTTTACACTCTTTGAAAATGTTAATACAATGTGTCTTGTGCTAAATGCCACTAGATCATTATGTCCCTTGTTTAAAATGATGAAAGGGATTAAGATGGAAAAGTGTCTACTGGAATTACTCTTAGTTAGTTTTGATTTTGATTAATGATGAAAGTGCAATATACATTTTCGCACAGAGCTGTCTTATAACCTCCTGTGCTGGATTGTTTAATTAGTAATATGCATAGTTCTACAGTTTTGTTGTTTAGTGATGGATAGCTGCTGGTGGATATTAGTAAAGTCTGTTTCATTTAAAGTCTCTTAGTATGTAGAGAGTGGCATCCAGTTTCTCTCAAACTTACGTATTCTGTTCTTCCTCACAGTGTTCAGTGTTTTTCCCCCTCACACCATCTCAGTTCCACTGAGTGTGACATTACGTTCATATTGCCCCACTGCCCTACTTTCAAACAGAAAGAGGGAGAGGAAAAGACAGGAGTGGATAGAGGATAGGATGAGGCAGATGGAGGCATGGGCTCTATATATAGCCTCTCCAGCTGATGGTCACTGCGGGAATAGGGAAAGTTAGAAGTCATATATAGTGGTATAAAGCACACTGGATTAAGTGGTTTCTGTGTGCAAAAATAATGAAAAATAATAAAAATTGAGATACTTGTGAATAACATGGTTACATAACTGTACTGCTTTACTTTAATCCGTGGCTCACACTTGGTAATACAGAGGAACAGCTTTAATCTTTTTCTTAACATTGTGGTTTGTTTTTGGTTTTGTTTAGCTGTACGTTTTGGTCGCATCCCCAAAAGAGAGAAGCAGCGGCTACTAGATGAGATGCAGAGCTACATGAACAGTCTAAATGAGTCAGCTGGCATAGCCATGGAATCCTCCTCGGTGAGAGAGATTGCCCCAAACACAGATGAAGGTAACTCCAAAGAGGCAATAGGAGCCATTTCAAGAGCCTACCATGACATCTTCACCACCAGTAACAACAGCTGCCAAGAAAGAGCCACTAAGAGAGCACACATCTCCAACAACAATAACTGCCCTTCATTTTCTCAGGAGGGTGGCTTCCTTCAGGTCTCCACTACTCAGAGTTATCAGTACAGTTCTGAAGCTTGTCCCACTTCATGTCCCATTGCTCCCAATAGCAACCTACCAACATTCCACACCAGTGTGGACAATAGTCACTGCACATATGCATTGCCAACAAATCAGAGCCAGCACCAGACTAACCAGCACAGTTACTCCAATGAAAGAAAGACAAACCTCACGTCCTGCCCATGGAAGTTAGCACCAGGTGCTAAAGTATTGGTAAGTGTTAGATATGCTTACTGTTCCGTATTCACAGTTTTTTCAATACTGACTTTGCTTTTTATATCTTTGTTTTCCTTAAGGCCTGTCCTCTCAATGCATGTCCTATAACAGGGGCAGAACGCTCCAATCAGGAGATTTGGGAATCCTTCTCTAATTGTTTCACTCCAGCAGTAAAAGAGGTGGTAGAGTTTGCCAAAGGCATCCCAGGATTTCAAGAGCTCAGCCAGCAAGACCAAGTCATGTTGCTCAAATCTGGTACTTTCCAGGTAAAGGACACATTTCACTAAGCAGATGAAAGAAGTGTTGTGATGAAAAAGTTTTGTGGTAATAATATTCCACCTAACTTTTTGTCCTTTGATTATTGGTTTCAGGTTCTGATGGTGCGGTTTTGCACCTTGTTCAATTCTGAAAAACGTACAGTGACTTTCCTAAATGGTCAAACTTACCCCTTGTCTATCCTCCGGGGCCTGGGTATGGGTTCGTTGCTGGATGCCATGTTTGAATTCAGTGAGAAGTTGGGGTCTTTGGGCCTGGAGCCTGATGAAATGGCCCTCTTCATGGCTGTAGTGCTGGTCTCTGCAGGTAACCCTGAATTTAACTATAGCACAAAATCTAAGGGTGGATATTATTGCATATTTATCACTCATATTGTCTCTTTTTCTTTAGACCTTTCTGGGATCTCAAACATGCAGGCCGTGGAGCAACTGCAGGAGGGTCTGATTCGAGCTCTGCGCTCACTTATCACTCGCCGGCGTCCAGATGACATTGGCCTCTTTTCCAAACTTCTTCTTCGTCTGCCTGACCTGCGCACACTTAATAATCTGCACTCTGACAAATTGCTGGCTTTCCGCATTGATCCTTAAACAAAGAAACTTATGCTCTTACTTTAACGAACAAGTGGATCTGAAGGAGTTGAGTTGTTCTCAACCTTAGGATACTTGTTTCACTCAAACATTGCACAAAACTGCTGCACCTTCATACAACTACATGTTGATGAAGCAGTTTGACAGGTCTTTGTGTAAACCTTTGAAGACCAAAATCCAGCTGACTTCAGCTTACTCCTTTTATTTCTTGTAACATACTGTATTAAATGTCAGCAAGCAGCAACATACAAGTTTAAGGGACCGCTGTTGTGTCATAGGATAAGGGAACCTGTAAATGCAAACCTAAATGTAAGGTATTGTATGTTTTATGCCATTTTGCATTATGAACTTGCACTATAATTTTAGTGTGTCATTTTAGCAGAAGTTACCTTCAGTAATCTTTTCCTGTGGTGTAGAACAGATTGAAAGTCTTGGGGTTCATGTGAAGAGAACAATTAAGCATTTTTCTCCCACACAGTATGTGCTGCAGAGAACACATGCATGCTGCATTTTGTAGTTATTTTGTTCTGTTTATGTAAATATATCATATATGTTTATGACTGCAATCATGTGAAAGATTGTTTCAGTTTTGTGAAAAGAGCAATGTATGACCTTTATTGTATAAGATGAGGGTTAGGTCATGGGATCTTTGTGTAGTGGACTACTGTAGTGACTCTGAGATGACTTATTTAAGCTTATACCAGCACACTCTCAGAAATCAACAGATTCCACATAACCCTCCTCTGGCCCCATTGTTTGTCATACAAACACAATGTGTATTTATGCAGAGATTTTCCTTGATGGATCCTCTTACAGTTTTATGTTTGGTTATGGATGATTGAGCACATGTTGTATATTTTGTAAATCTTGAAATAGAAATTATGTAAAGTTGACATTATGTAGCCTTTATTGTGTCCTTGTAAAATTTAATCTATGATGGCTGATGACGCTATGACAAAGTTATGATGTATCATCACGGGTTTTTATTAATAATTTATATAATTTTTCCCTTGGTAAAAAGTAAAGCAAGACTGTCACCCAGTGGTGAACCAAGGAAGTACATACCCGGATCCCGGAAGTGCGTAGTCTGTTGTCAGCGCTTGTGCTTTTTGACCACCATAGTACATCGGATGTTACAAATAATTGCCCGAATACATGCATCGTTTATCATATTTGCGCACAGTAGCACACAGCAAAAATATAATGGATGAGTGGCCAAGCAGAGAGGTACGTAAAAAGACCGTACTGTGTTTGCAAGTTATTGTTGGTTAGAGTGTAGGCTAATCTATGCTAACTTTGTGAGTGTTTATCAGAGAGCTAAAGCCCAGCCTACTATCAAGAAAGTAAAGGACGATTCATTGTTCTTTTGTGCTTAAATATATATAATACCTGCGATCTGTTATTATTTTCTTGGCAGTTGAGGATGCCAATGAATGCCAAGAAAGGAGCTGAGCAATTGACGAGGCCGTGACGCTGCTGGCCCCCAGGACATTCCTGACTACAGACCTTCATCATGTTGGTGACCGCGTATTTTGCTATAGTTGTACTACTGGCTCTGTGTGTTGGCCTGGAGCTGACAGCACGCCGCATCACTCCCCCTGAAGAGAAATCCTCTGCCCTCGCAAACCCGGCCTTTCGCCGCTTCCAGACCATATTCCTGCGTGCGTACCTGCTGGCCTTATGGGCAGACTGGCTCCAGGGCCCTTACCTTTACAAACTGTACCGACACTATAGCTTCCTAGAATCTCAAATAGCTATTTTATACGTATGTGGCCTGGCCTCCTGCGTCCTATTTGCCCCGTTTTCAGGCTGGCTTCCTCAAATTTTGGGTCGCAGGCAAGCATGTCTTATTTTCTGCTTGTCTTACTCTGCATGTTGCCTCACTAAGCTTTCCAGAGATTACTTTGTCTTAATTGTTGGACGAATTCTCGGGGGGCTGTCTACATCCTTACTGGCAACCACATTTGAATCTTGGTATGTTTACCATCATGTTGAGGTACATGATTTCCCAAAAGAGTGGATTCCCAGTACTTTCACTACAGCAGCTACATGGAACCATGGACTTGCAGTTGGGGCAGGGCTGACAGCTAACCTGTTGGCAGAGTGGCTCCACCTTGGGCCTGTAGCTCCCTTCCTTCTGGCTGTCCCATGTTTGATTGCCTGTGGTTGGATAGTTCTGACTGACTGGGGCAAAGAAGAGGCTACAGGGAATCAAGAAAGTGATAAACCTCTGCTCTTAGGTAATGCGACTGCTGGTGGAGGGCATACATCAGTAAAATCCAGATTCTCAAAAAGTTGCCGTGATGGACTCCGCTGTTTATTGTCAGACAGAAGAGTACTACTTTTAGGTGGGGTGCAGGCACTATTTGAAAGTGTTCTCTATATTTTTGTTTTCTTATGGACACCTGTACTAGACCCACACAGACCTCCATTGGGAATCGTCTTTTCATGCCTCATGGCTGCCAGCATGTTGGGGTCCTTACTATACCGCTTGGCCACCTCCACACACTATCATCTGCAACCAGGACATGTACTGTGCCTCGCTGTTCTTATGGCTTTCTTCTCATTTTTTATGCTTATCTTTTCCACTGCTCCTGGTCAGCCTAGGCCACATGAATCATTTTTAGCCTTCCTGCTACTGGAGTTGGCATGTGGACTCTACTTTCCAGCTGTTAGCTTTCTCCAAGGACGTGTAATTCCAGAGGACAAGCGTGCAGGGGTACTTGCCTGGTTCAGACTGCCCCTTCATCTCCTGGCCTGTCTGGGACTACTAGCGTTGCACGGAGAGGTATCGGGAACGGGAGGAGGAGAAGGAGGGAGTGGTACCAGGCACATGTTTGGAGGTTGTGCTGTCATGATGCTGGCTGCATTGATGGCTGTTGTTAGTTTGTTCACTTTTGGCAGGAATGACACTGATCTAAAACTTGAAGGTACAAGAGAAGGAGACATGTTCTGAACTTACCGAGTTACTGTTCGAATTATTTCACATATAATTGCATTATAATAAAACTTTTTTTCACTGTATGTTTTGCCAAACATGGATTTAAGGATTGGGCTGTATTAGAAATTGTGTTTTATTTTTTATTTTATTTGGGGACTAGTTTGGTTGACTGGGTATTCAGTTTATTCCCATTACAATATTTAAGATTGTTTTAAGAAATGTTACATGTGTAGTCTACATATCAAACTTCACCTGAAATTCAACAAACAAAAGCAAAGAAAAAATGTCATATAAAAAGTTTTTTTTTTGCAATGTACAGTTTTCATTATTAATTTGTGGGGGTCATTTGTATTATTTCCCTTTTCTGTTCAGAATAAATGAATAAAAAGGAAACACCATTCTGCCTATAATGTCAATGCATTCTAGATTGATATTGCCTTTTTTATCTTGAAGGTGCACTGTAACTTTTCTGGTGGCACGTCTGCCACTGGAAATGTTACTGTCTTGTCAAAATTTTCCACATTAAACTTTTATATCTCATTGGACACATGCAGGTGAGATCGCCAGGCCAAGTTACAAGTCAGACCTGTGGAGAGATGACCCTCATCACAGAAAGGTTGAATTTTTAAGGAAGTTTGGAGGAATAAAGTTATCCCTAATGAAGTAAATATGGAAGTATAATAAAGGTTATCGATCTTCATGTTATAGATCTATGAGTGAATGCCATAGATAGCTAGATGCCATATTGTGGAACATCCCAGGTCAACACCTCCATGTAGGGGAAGATTGTGTACCCCCACCATAAATTATATACTGCGCCTTGCACGCATGTATTATGTAGCAGGCCAGGCAAGACTAGTAACCTAATATCATTCGTGGTCAGTTTTCAAATGGAATGATGTCACTTTTGCCACGAGGTCATCTCATTGTTAATGCATGGTATAAATTATGCTCTCCTGTTACGAGTTGTTTCTAAAATTTTCTGGACGTTTCTATGTCCCGCGTAATGCAGATTCCTCCTGTACTCCTATTTCTTCCCAGTGGTACAGTCCTGTGTCGGTGGTATGCTGCTGCAGTGTCATCTCGATGATGCTAGAACTTCCATTTGAAGGTGAGGGAGAGGGGGGGAGTTCAAGAAACGGTGACGTTTTGAGGTAACATGATCGCAGTCGTCAGACGTCTGGGGAGCCTTGAAAAGCTGCATCAGCTGGGGTTTTCTCCAAATTCTGTTAATCAGAAGAGAGCGGTAACATCCACTACAATTCATCGTAAGCGATAGGTCCATACAGGTATATAAGCAGACAAAAAGCACGCACTTTTTTCAGGAGGAACTTTTACGCATCATGACGCAGAGCAAGGTAAGATATACCATCTTCATTTTTCTAAACTGAAATCTTAAAGATCTATTTAATGGCATTTCATTTCATTAATTGTTCTAATATGTATTATGTTTTATAGCTAACACTTGCCAATAAGCCTAAAGACGAGTCTATCAGCAGTGCCAATGAATTTCTGTCACCCTCTCCTCCCAGCTATGAAGAAGCCACTGCTGGTATGGCTTTGAAATGTAACATGTAATGACATTTAAGCTTTATTGCTTCATATTGTTTGTTTTGTTTCAGGTGCTAATGCAATATGTTACAAGGACGCTGAGATGTTTACTCAGTTTAGTTGGGATGATCGCAATATCAGAAGAGTCTTTATCCGGAAGGTACGTTTTTAAACTTACTTTTAACAGTAACTTGTATATGCCTCAAACTTTTAACCTGTGCAGTATTTTTTTAGGTTTATTCTATCTTGATGATCCAGCTTTTGGTTACACTGACAGTTGTTTCTTTTTGCACATTTTGGTAAATAAATTTTGAATTTCGTCCTTCATATTAAACTATGGCTCAATTTTAATACCATTAGAACCAAACCTAACACCTAACCTAATACTAAACATGAATCACTATTTTCTGTTAGTGAACCTGTAAAGGACTACATACACTCTAATCCAGGATGGTACTGGGCTTCATAGTAAGTAAGATTGAGTATTTCTATTTGCACAGACATATTGTACTACTTGTATTTTCTTGAAATGTGTGCCTTTTGCCTTTAAAACAGTGCAGTATTCTTTATCACATACTTGGTTTTGTCATGCTGCTCTGCGCTAAGGTATGTCGGGTTCAAATAGGTTATGGTCCACTTTTTGCATATACTTATAAATATTTCTGAACTTGAAGTATTTCTTATTTTATGTTTTAACTAAAGGAGAAAGTTTCCATGGAATTTAATTTTATTGGCTATTTTTGTAAGTGCACTCATTTATTCATGCATTTCTATCATTCATATTGTTATAACATGATCACAGTATACATGTCCTCTTACAGACTATTTCCCTTTCCTATATGACTGGGATGTTATCTAGGTAAGAATTTATATTTATTATATGGAGTAGGCCTTGTTGTTTTCTTTAATAACACTATTTTTTCATTTAATTATTAGCTTCTACAACACCAAATCAGTGGTGTTGTGTCTTGGCATCACAGCAGCAGTGTGCCTCCTTGTCACCCTCTGCAGCTTTCAGATTAAGGTAAAACCCTGATTACAAAATCTTGAAAATTTGTTTATTATTTTTTTGTCATTATTTCTAAAAACACAGAAGTGTTTTGTTTCTGCTGAACATTTTTTTATCCATTTAGTTTGACATCACATCGTACCAAGGGGTGCTGTTTGTCTTCTGCATGGTGATGTTCATCTCTGGACTAGTCTTGGCACTTGTCCTTCCCTTTAATGATGTAAGTACGCAAAAACATGCCCATCTTTGCTGGACAATTCATTTGTAAAGTTGGAGTCAGTCAGAGAGAACATATTTTTTGGACCCTGTTCCCCTGACCTCACTCTATCATCATGTTGTCTTTTATTGTAAAATATATAGGCTATATATATTTAGAAAAAGTAGAGTGAAACCAGGTCCCACTTGTTCTTATCAAAAAATCAGTCCAAGATATTTCTTCTCTTAAAGGTACCTTGGTTGGATGTCACTTATGCTGTGCTGGGAGCAATACTGTTCACACTGGTGGGTGTTTCAACACAGTTTTTTTTTTTGTTTTCTTTAAGTTAAGTGACTAAATGCATTTGTTCTAACACACCTGTATTTTTTCTTGTAGTTTTTGATGTTTGACACCCAACTTTTAATGGGGAACAAGCGATACACCATGAGTCCTGAAGAGTATGTCTTTGCCACACTCAACATCTACATGGACATAATTTATATATTTTCCTTCTTCCTCCAAATCTTTGGAACAAAACGTGATCAAAGCACTGGCTGATGTTTTGAACAAAATACAATAACACTGCATGATTTATATGAAAATATCAGTGATTGGAAATATGGTTCTAGAATCTAGAATAGACTGTTTCCACTCCCAGAACTTGATACATTTCCAACAAAAAAATAATGAATACCATTTTCTAAAGTGAAAGTTGTTATGTACATTTTGTTTTTAATTATGTGTAAACTATTTCCTTATTCCTCACCCCATTTTAATGAGGGTTGGTGCAGGACTTAAAGACAGATTATGGAGAAGTAAAGAGAAAAAGTGCCATTCATGCAACAACTAATATACGCACGCACGCACACACACACTTTTTTTTTTTCTTTCGTTTTTCTTTGAAATGCGTGCCAACATGCATTTTTAATAGCCTATATTTATTGTCATGTACATAATCTATTCAAGGCTTAATTTATTGTGTAAGTGAGTGTTGTATGTTTAATATAAATATATATTTAAGTCTATTTTTGTGTCTGCGTTTTTGTAATAAAGCTGTAACAATCAAATTTTACCAATATGAAGCACATTTAATTTTTAACGAACGAAACGAATGAAATTGGCATTAGGTTAGATATTCTCTGGTTACTCAATCGTAATGATTATGTTCACCTCCAATTACCGACCGGCAGCAATGACGTAAATTCCAAAATCAGCAATTAACGAATAGCAACTCTTTATACTCAGGTTCCAGTCGATCCCTCGTCCAACCACAACGCGCTATGATACAAACGTGCAGTTCAGCCATGTTGTGGTTTTGAATAAGGAAGAAGCGGGAGATGTTATTCTTAAACGAGTTTATTATGTTTTGTATGTTATGTTGAGGACGCGTTTATATGTTAGTAAGTAATTCAAATGACGAACTTCTTTCCGAATGTGATTTATGTGACTTATCTCATTCCCATATGTATTTAAACATACTTTCATCTAACTACTAGCTACGGAGCTAACACTGTAAGCTACCAAGGTAACTTGTTAGCATAACGTGCTAGCTGTATTATTTTCCTAACACTCTGTTTTCTAAGGGTTATTCGGATTTCTTAAAATAGTACAATGGTACATAGTAAAACGGGCACTAGTTAAAAACGAATTGAGAAACTTTTCCCGGTCGAATGACGCAAACTAGCCCTTTATTTCTCGATAGCCATCTTTCGACCGGTTAAAACGGGCTACCTCTTAATAAGCACCGTACTCCCTAAATTGTCTAACAATGATGAATAAAATTTACGAATGGATAGAAACTAGTTTCGCGAGCTTTCGCAATGGTGTTCCCGCGGCAGAACCACTAGATACTCTTAATGCTGCTGGAGATCTTCAGAGGAGACGGAAAAGACCGATTGGATGGTAAGCGAAAACGAAAATGTACACGCGCATTGGCACAGTTGGAGTTTTTTTTGTTGTCGTAATACAGTTCCTTGTCTGTTTTTGGTTTTCAGCCTAGATGATCCTAACAGCACCGAGGAGCAGCATGGCTTGGCACTAAAAAAATCTCGCATGGGTATGTTTTATGTACTATGATGTCTAAATGAGTGTAAATTGAGTGAAAGTGGGTTGTATTAACAGTGAAATTCTGTTCTCCAGGAGATCTTCTGGATACAGTGAAAATCGCTGCTCAAGGGGTCAAGAGTCATAGTTCTAATGTGGCAGCATGGATGAAGATGAACATGAGTCCTACTTTAAAAAACGTGATGCCCGCTGCCTCTGTCCCTCCACTAAGAGAAGCCATGGCGAAGCCCTCCACATCATCATCTGTTGTCTGGGCAAGGAGACCAGTAAGTCTCTGATGTATGTTTGATAACGTACATGCAGTAGCCATGATCTAAAAGATTATTTTGTGTAAGGCTTTGGAGAACCATTCGCTAGATAAGACCTTCATTGCTCCCTCAACAACTTTGGAATGGAAATCCTCTAAAACAGGTAAGTTCAATTGCAAGTTGTTTTACCCAGGTCTCAGTTTATAGTTTCATTGAAAATGGGTACCTTCAAGCATCATTTCACAGCACTGAAGTATATCTGAGCTTAGGCCCTTACTTGACTGTGGTTGGTTTATCTGAGAAAATACAGTGGTTTACTCCCTTGTATCATAAAAGATGTACATAGCTCTGGCTTTGTTCTTTGAAATCCTTGATGCTGCTGTGCATAATACATTTCTTAAGTGTCCTTAAAACAAATCAGCGTATGTAATGATACATCAGACATCTGCAATTTGCTTTTTGAATTGCTCCCATGTGAGACAATTGTGATTTTCACAACATTCTAACTAGATTTAACAGTTTAGATGTTATATTCTTGTTTTCCGTAGAGTTGTACAGGCATGAAAAGACCTATTCTGGATCAAAAGTCTGCAGACGACAGGCATGCATGAGCCCTACACACAGAGAAGGACCAAAAACAAATGGGCACTCGGTTAACACGGTATCCTCCAACACTCCCAAACTGCCTTCTGCTCCTCGGCTAGGGAGACCTCTAAACCTCAGACCTCAAGGACCACTCAAGTATGTAAAAGTGTGTATGATTTAGTGCAACCTTACTATTTAATTGTAATATTATTCTTTGTTTTTTATGCTTGCTCTCACACCAAAACTAGTGGTGTGAGTACACCAAGTCCCTGTTCCTCTATGTATGAAAAGACCTTCCCCATCAAAGTTGTACAAAGTCCGACCAACAGCACATCATCTGGGCGTATTCAGAGGGCCAAGCCTCACTGCACTGCACAAGAGGTCAGTCTTAAAGATGTGTGATATTTAGGATAAATGTGTAATACATGTTTGTATGTAATGCATTTTCCTTTTCTCTTAATGTTGTTTAGTCTATCTGTGAAGAAGAAAAGGAGATCTATCGGCAACTTTTGTCCATTGTATCGGGTGGCCAGTCAGCCTTTCACACAGGCAACTCTCATGCTATTCTGAGGTCCCATCGAGATTTGTATGACATGTTTGTTGTCAAAGGTTGTCATTATTTGATACCACCACTAAGGCCTCATTGTCTCTTTTCAGCACCAGTTTTCTGACAAGCAGCCGGAGATTGCTCCAGTGTTCTTCCTCCCCTGTGTCTATAGAAGGAGAAGCTTCTGACGGACCAAGCGATCCCCCAAGTCCCAGAGATGCGCCAAGCCAGAGCTTCAGTAACCTCCACAGCCCAGTCAATGCCTCAAGCAAGATAGGAAACCAAACCTGGCTTTTGGACACTGATGTCAGTTTCACAAAAGCAATTTCCCCTCCATCCCCATCTACCCTTCAGGACAGCACCTCTCAGGACACACAGTCATCAGGTCAACTTCTTATTTGTAACGTGCAGTGAAAATGTGGGGATGCTCTAGTAAATGTTAACTTTTCTTTTTTTAATAGCTCCTGATGGCGATTCTGTAATTATTGTAAAAGAACAAAAGACCAAAATGGAAGACAATGCCAGGTTAGTGTAGGATGTAGTGTTCTACAACTATTTATTTCAAGTCTTATGTTAAGTGATGGTCAATGCAAGTTGTTCATCATTTTTATTTTTTGTCACAGATTACCATGCTTTCAAGCTGAATTATGGATTAAGGAATTGTAAATCATCTTTCATGCCAAGATTTATTTCCTATTTTATTATATCTTGAACATGTTTGATAAGTTTTTAAAAATCTATATTGTTTTAACCTTTTCAGGACAAGTATGTATGACTCTCGGGCAAGAGAAAGACGGAGACAAATTGAAGAGCAGGAAGCACTAGCAGCACAACTCCTCCGACAAGTAAGCAACTGACATACTGTGTACATAATGTTGTATTACTTTACATTTAAATGTTTTGCTTGTACATTTTCTTAACAGCGGCTTTCTGAGGAGGAGTTACGTAGTCCACATGTGGAGGTCCATGTAAGGGTTCCTTTAGAAAAAGAAGTTCCTCTGGCACCAGTCGCAGAAGAACCCCAGCCACTGGAGGAGAAACCTGAATTTCCGGAGCTCACTGTTGTATGTTTGTTTCTGTGTATATAGTGTCATTAAACTTTTATATAGTACTAATATCCAGAATTTTTAAAAAGGAAATGGAGGCTGAAATCAACAGGGTGCTGAGGGGCAGTAATCCACATGAAGTTTTAAGTGAAGGTTTTGGTTTAAGCCTCACACGGAAGGACCTGCAGACCCTCAGTAACCTTAACTGGCTTAATGACGAGGTTTAAACTAATTATAACTGCACTAAATATATAGTAATTGCTGTAATTGTAGTATTGACTATTATGTTCTGACACTTTAGGTCATCAATTTTTACATGAACCTTCTGGTTGAGCGCAGCAAAGATCCGACTCTGCCTTCAGTCAATACCTTCAACACCTTTTTCTTCCCCAAACTTCGAAGCAGTGGTTATTCTGCTGTTAGGCGTTGGACAAAAAGAATGGATATTTTTTCTAAGGATCTTTTACTTGTACCTGTCCACTTGGGCGTGCACTGGTGTCTCTCTGTAAGTCACTGAACCAAGAATGAAGCAGACATTTATTGGGATAATTAACTTATTTCTTTTCTCAGGTTGTGGATTTTCGAAAAAAAAATGTCATGTACTTTGATTCCATGGGAGGGAACAATGATGAAGCTTGTAGAATTTTGTTGTAAGTGAGCTTGATGTTGAGTGCACCTAAATCACAGTCACATCTTTTTTTAACCTGAATAAACTTTTGTCTGCAGTGAGTACCTGCAGCAGGAGAGCAAGGATAAGAAGGGTAAAGAAATGGATACCTCAGGCTGGAGTCTGCACAGCAAAAAACGCAATGTAAGTTTTGCTTACAGGCTTTTGAAAATGCAAATCTGTCCATTTATTTTTATATATTGATGGGACTGTTTTTATTCTTTATACATTTGCCCTTTGCATTGAACAGGAGATTCCACAACAGATGAACGGTAGTGACTGTGGGATGTTCACATGCAAATATGCAGATTACATTACCAAAGATAAACCAATCACATTCACACAGGTAACAATCTTCAGTATCTGTCAAATTTTTTGTGTATAAAATTAACATAAAAAGTTTCCATCTGGTTTAGAAACACATGCCATACTTCAGAAGAAGAATGGTCTGGGAGATTGTCAACCACAAACTGTTGTGAATGAAGATTGTATAAATTGGCACTGGGGGCTACAGCTGCGATAAACAGAACTGAAGTTAGTCCTGCTCATCAGTTCATCAGATCAGGAACTACTTGCATCAGCCACGAGGTGGGGGCTGGGGGACAGTTATTCCTTGAATTTGTTATCCGGTCGAAGTAAAACTATGGAGTATTCACAGGCAGCTAAGATATGTCTATATGTCCTTAGCCATAAAGTGTTGGTACACTATTAAAACAAACTGAACTGCCATGTTCATGCCACCTCTTGTTTACATACTTTATGGGATGGATCACCACATTGAGGTTGCAGCTTTTTACTGTTATTATGTGGATCTTCTAGACAAATGCCAAACACTTAACATGATATTTTGAAATGGGGTTTTGACATTTGATTACACATCCAGTGTATATTCATTATTTCCTTACATTAAAACTCCTGCTCGAAAATGGAAATTCATTTGTCAGAAAATAGGTACAACATCAAGTATCACCTTTATATTCCAAATGTTCTTTATACAATATTGTAAATTAAATGGTAAAAGTTTATTTTGTGCAAAGTAAATCTTGGCTTGACCAGGTTATTTTCAATGTTGTACATAAGTCAAACCAGCCTTGTGAACAGTGTAATATACTTTTTTATGAAGACATTTGTATTTGTATGTATTTTCTGTTTTATATATAGCCAGGTCTGTTTTAGAATAAATTCAAGTATTGTGTGTTGTTGTATTGTATGCAACTATTTCTATAAAACAAAAAGCAATGCATATAATCACAGTCAAATCATTTATTAAAAAACAAAAGTTCATTTTCTAAAACTCATTTAGCAGATTTGAATGTTTGGAATAGTTTGTTTGGGTTCATAAAAACATAACACGGAAACGTTAAGGCTACAAAGTGGTACACATGAAATGAAAAAGGAGGAAATCTTTGATGTTCTATAATGTAACATTTTGGAAAACAGTTCACTGGATACTTTAGAGTAGCACTTCTCTTCCAGTTAAACCTAAGGCAATATGTGAATGCATGAATGTATACTTTACATAGAACTGACCCAATTGCAGTTAATAAGACCAATGTAAAATAGTCAAATAAGTTTAACAGTGATAGTATATTTCCGTAATAGGCTATTTTAAACTCTACATTTTTGGCAAGAAAATGTTCCCTTTTATTGCAACAACAAAATATTGGCCAACTTATTGTCAAGTGTTCCTTCAACATCAGCTGTATTGCACGGATCAAAAGAACTTGAAGTGGATAGAATAGATGGGATGGATGGATGCAGATGACAACAAATAGTCCCTAATGCCTGAATCTTAAATAATTTTGAACACAAATGAACATTGATCTGAGTGAGGTAACATAAAATGCAGATGTTTAAAGAAACACAAAACAAGACTGCATTTCAGTTCAAAACTATTGCTAAAAATAAGTGTTTCCCATTGCACTATAAAAAAATAAATCTTTTTAAAAGAAGGCATAAAAAACTATTAAATGTCTTGACACACTTAAAATAAACAGAAGTCAAACAGAAAATAAGATACCAGGGCCAATACAACCATCCTTGATCTAGAAACATTACGGGGCAATTAAAGGAAAGACAATAAAAAATAAAAGCTGAGGTGTAATTCCATTTAGTTTTGGATTTTGTGAAGCTGCTTAAAACCTTAAAGTGGTTTATGGCACTGGCTATGGAATGCTTCAATTTATTCATTTTATTTAAGAACTGTTAGGCCTACTTCTGATTGTCCACAGCATTGTTATAAAATAAGTTCAAGAGTACTAATCTGAAGACCTGATGACACGTAGTTATTAAATGTGTGCCTTATATGGATTGTTGTGGATTTTAAAATTCATTAAGGTTCAGTCATTCCCAACCAGGGCTTGTCTCAGGCATAAGCAGAGGACTAAATTGAGTGAAGTTTCAAAATTCATGATGACAGAAGGTGAAAGTAATTTCCAGCACAGTATTTTCATGTACATTTTGGAGCAAAAATCCTTTATCTGAGAAGGCTTTGTGTGAAAAAATACACTGTATTTTTGTTGTTCTTCCATTTCCCATTTTCAGCTGTCACTCAGCTGGAAGTAGTTTGTTGTAGAAAATATATCAACGTGAATAGTCTTTTATGTTTTAAGTACACTCTAGAGTGTGGAGGAAAAACACAGTAAATGCATATTATTGGGAATATCTTCTGAAAAGTGGTGATATATCAGTATGAACTCACCGTGGTCCTCTCTTCATTTGTTATGCTGGTATGAGTAGGTTGTGTGTTCTTTTGGTGTCTCCGTTGACCCTGGTTGTTGGACGGCACTTTCCTAATGTGAGAAGCAGTTTAAGGTGGACTCTTGAACACATATTTGTTCATATAGACTGATGTCGTTACCTCAACTGAAATATTTGTGGCAGGCACTTGTGTGGAGTACTGGGAAATGTATGTCCCCTGCATAGAGGAGTTAGCAGGCACATACTGGAGAAAAATAACAAGCCAGGGTTAATAAATGAGGTTTGAACTATGAGGAGAGTTCATGACAAACTCAGAAAAGTGGAATTCTACATTTTACAATTTCACATTTTACTCATGTTTGCAATACTATATTTGTCTCCTTCTTCTGATTTGTTTTTGTTTTCTTTTAAACATGCACCTATTTTTATTTATTTATTTATTCATTCCTGCATGTTATGTTAGATTTTTTTAATAGCACAACTCAACCCATTAATACAGGCATTAGGGCCATCATGAACAGTACACTGGAAATATTTTAACATTTCAATCTAGATGGTAAAAGAGTAGTTTGTCTCATTTTAATACACAATTTTTATTAATTTAAATGAATTTGTTGTATTAAGTGAGATTTTTTTAATATACTTACAGAGCCATTCCCGCCTATAGAGAGGTGACTGAGCTGTTGCGACAGGGGCCCAATCACGGAGGTTGGTTGGATAGACATTGTGTGGTCCATCCCTGATGTCAACACTGCACTCTTATAAAAATATTAAATGTTAAACAATACTGTCAGCATAAAAACTAAGAAGGTTTTAGATTTAAGTATACTCACTGTTGGTGGCATGATGTATGGCTGATGTACCCAGGACGGGGTGTGTAACTGGTACGTTGATACTGGGGAATGCATGTATGGAGAGAGAGAAGCTCCAAGCATCCTGTTTGGGGTGAAACTGTAGGGAGCAGGGTAGAACCTGAAAAAGAAAACAGATTGTAAGAGACAATAGGTAGAGATAGAGAAAATAAAATTGTTAAATGAAGCAATGACTGACCCATTCTGAAAGGCTGTGGTGGGGTCATATGTGAGAGTTATTCCTCCCTAGGGAAATAATGCAACCAACACAAGAGTCAACAGAGGCCGCTGAAAAATAGTGTTGCGTAATAAAGTGCAACTGTTAAATAGCATGATTAGAACATAAATCATCCAAACTCACACTGTCCCCATTTCGAGACCAGACCCGACCATTCTGCAGATACTTCCCCTGGCTCCCCTGTCTTTTCTTTTGACCACCATCAGCGAATTTACATAACAACGGTTCAGGAGGGACTGGGGAAATGTTTGGACAATATATTATAACTGCAATATATCATTGTATTTGAGTATATGAAGGATTTTTTTGATAACAGACCTGGTACTCCTGGAGGTGTTTTGATGTATTTCCCATTAAAATGTTGAATGATGGCCTCGCATTTTTCTGTCGACTCCATTCTGAATAAAACATCAAATACTTGAATTAGCAATTTGTTCAAGCTATGTTGGCCACTAGAGGGCACATTTTTGAAGATGTTCAGATGCAATGACAAGAAAACTCTATGTCAAAATATCTTTTCCCTTCTTCTGTTAGTTTGTGAAAATACTGCAAATTATTATTATTATTATTATTATTATTATTATTATTATTATTATTATTATTATTAATAATAATAATAATAATAATACACAAGTACTTCATTTTTCTAATTAAGACAAACAAACCCTACGTTTTTTATGAATTTTCAGTATTTGTTATATATTGTCTATTATTGTGCACCTTGCAAAGCCAACTCCCCGGCTGGTTCCATTGGTGTCCCTCAGGATTCGTGTGGAAATAGCTTGACTGAAAGGCTTCAGTAGGTCCTCCAGCTCCTGCTCATCCATGCATTGTGGCAGGTTTGAGATGTACAGGTTCGTGGGGTCTTGCTCCTGTTGCTAAAACATACATTGTCAGAATTATAAATAGGCTTCTAAACAGTAACAAATATGGCACAGTTCATTTCTTTCTCCTTTAAATTTCCATTCATGAACCATAGAGATCCACCATCAACCCATCAACCATTTTAACAGTAATAGGCTAGAAAAAATCCAAATTTGAGTTTATAGAGTTCTATTATTACACAAAATTGACTCTTGTGAGCTATAAGCCATATTATAATGCTGTCAACTCATAAAACAGAGTTATGTTTTGTTTAATTCACCAGTATTTGAGTAAAAAGAGTTATTAGTCTGTCTACCTCCAAAGCACAAAATGCTCTGTTCCACCCTGTGATGTCAGATATAGTTTTCAAGTAGTATTCCAGGACTGAAATCATTCTTGATGATGATTCTTTTGAAGGTGTATGAAGTTTAAAAACACTTCCTGTATAACCACATGACATCACAAGGTGAAATAAGAGTGTTTTCTTTTTTGAGAAAACACCCAAATCCTGCCAAAATATGCAAGATTTGGGTGTTAAACATGTGTGAATAAAACAAAACACAATACCAGGTATATTTTTGATGGGGAAACAACATCAGATCAGGAAATAGCATAATACGGGCCCTTTAAAGGTCATTAAGACACTTAAAGCTGAGCAAAGTAAGATAAATTCTGAAAACTTTTTCATCCCAAAAAACGTACACAGACATTTAAGACTGAAAACATTTCAGCTAATGCTGTGAATTCATTCACAATATGCTGAGCATTTATAAAGTCAGAGCAATAAGATCTTGTGAGCCTGCCTTCATTTCTTTAACTTAATCACTGTGTTAGATTTTCATGAAAACATTGCTGCCTAAACAATTTTTCAGAGAGTGTCACATATTAAACCTAGATCACATGGAGGACTAAAAACAGGTCAATTCAATGAACCAATCAGAAAAGTATCTTTTCATTTTTACATGCTGCCACAACTTGATTCAGTTTCAGGTCTGTCTCACATTAGTTTGGTTAGTTATCCATCCATTTTCTTCCACTTATCCGGGGCCACATATCGAGGGCAGCAGTCTAATCAGGGATTCCCAGACTTCCTTCACCCTGGGTAGCGACTCTACTCTGAGCTCCTCCCGTGTGGCTGAGCTCCTCACCCTCTCTCTAAGGGACTGTCCAGCCACCCTGTGGAGGAAATTCATTTCGGCCGCTTGTATCCGTGATCTTGTCCTTTCGGTCATTACCCAAAGCTCATGACCATAGGTGAGGGGAGGAATGTCGATTGACCGGTAAATTGAGAGCTTTGCCTTTCGACTCAGCTCCCTCTTCACCACAATGGTCCGATACAGCGGCCGCATCACTGCAGACGCTGCACCGATCCGCTTGTCAATCTCAAGGGCACGTCACCTTTATCTTGTTGAGAACCATGGCACTGGATTTGGAGGAGCTGATCTTCATTCCAGCTACTTCACACTGCAGCATGCACTGGGGCTGCAAACTGCCCCAGTGCATGCTGCAGGTCCTGGTTCGATGGAGCCATTAGGACATCATCATCTGCAAACAACAGAGATGAGATCCTGTGGTCCTCAAACTGGACCCCCTCCAGCCCCTGACTGCGCCAAGAAATTCTGTCCATAAATACAATAAACAGAACCGGTGAAAAAAAGCAGCCCTGGCAGAGCCCAGTATGCAATGGGAACAAGTCTGACTTACTACCGGCCATGCGAACACAGCTCCTGCTCTGATCATTCAGGGACCGGACAGCCCTAGGTAAAGGGCCCCGGACCCCATACTCCCAGAGCACCCCCCACAGTACACCACGAGAGACACGGTTGAATGCCTTCTCCAGATCCACAAAGCACATGTGCACTGGTTGGGCAAACTCCCATGAACCCTCAAGCACCTGAATGAATGTGTAGAGCTGATCCAACCTTTTGCATTCAGGACAAAAACCATGGTTAGTTACTTGAGTTATAATAGTAGAGGATTTAAGTACTTCCCAGAATAATGTGGGTCCATTCATCAAAAAGCCTGAGGGCTGCATTTGGTCCCCAGGCCATAGTTTGGACATATTTAATTGCAGCATACACTCATTTTTATGTGGTAAATAAAGTATCTGAGTGAGGCTTACTTATAGCAGAGGGTGATAATAATTATATGCCTACAATCGTTGGCATATAATGGGAATTCGTGCAAGTAAGAGAAATATTGTTAGTAACTAACAGTTTTGTTATATTTGGATTTTGAAAGAAATACAGAAACTCTTCCCATCTGAGAGTATTCTTGACTCTAACAAGAAACAGCAGCAGTGTTTTGCAAAGCCCTTCATAAACACGATCACATGGACAGTGGCTCAGTCAAGGAGCAAATGGTTGTTTGCTGTTAGTTTTTACTTACTTTCCCCCAACGTCACTTGATGTATTATATATTGTAAGTAACCAGGGGAATGAACTGCATATTCTGTTTGTAAAGTGCCTGTGAATTAATGTATGCCACTGGAGAGTGCTATAATCTTGCTCAGACCAGAGAAGTGTGGCATGAAGTGAGTATGTTGACAGGGCGGGTGGCTGCAGAGGTCCCTGCTCACGAGTAGCTGCTCAGACATTGAGTCAGAAGCCACAAGGGAGAACAAACTAGCTCTTTGTGCATAGGCCCAAGGACACACTCTCTGAGCTCTGCTCCTTTGAGGACCAACATACAAGCCCATAACCTATGGACATTTGTGCAACCTTGGACAAAAGCACAAACCAGTGGCAAAACAAACACAATTTTAGATGACTATAACTATATAACTATAGTCCAATATTACCAGAAAGAGATTTCACTTTCCTGCATCTATATGTGAGGCTCTTACCTTGGCCATCTGAGCCT